CCCTGACTTCGAATATCCCTCCACGCCGGATAACGCCCTTTCTTTCCAGCTTCACCCTCGTCGATCGTTCAACCCTCGGCTCGCTGTCTCAATTTTAACCGTGACTCGAGCGGAGTCGAATCGCCCGGAACCCTCGGCGTATTGGGCATACAGCCTGAAGAACACCCTCGAGTCTCCCGAGCTTCCAGCGGGACAGAAGCGAAAGGGAGCAAGCGGGACCGGTAAATGCACGAAGTGGTCGGATACATATACAGCCACCTACGTGCAAGGGGAGTAATGAAGTCGGCGAATCAAGACAGAAATTGAATCCATTCGATTTTACGCCCCGATTGCTTGTACCGCTTCGAGAGCGTCGTACTCTTACTTGCTTGCGTGTGTTACGTCCGTGTGCGTGTGTCTGGCACGTACATCACCGGGCGAGTGTACGCTTCGTAACGTCGTAACAACGTGCTCTAATAAGTGTACCAGCAGGACTAATTCTATCCGGTAGGAAATTAAAAGGGAGCGTGTACCGAGAGAATTTTAATCTTCCTAATTTGCAGTTGAACAAGAAGAAAGGGAAAGAAGAAGAAACGCGAAGAAACGAGCGAAAGAGAGAGAATATTATCGAGATATCGATTCGTGGAGGAGGTATCACTCGCTTCGTCTCGATTCGTTCATCTTCGTTGGAGAAGATGCTACTTTCTCTTCGTCGTTTGCGGGATCTCGCGATCTTACATTACAGCAGACACGCCAGCCCAAAAGGTCTCGCGTTCCAAAGACAAACAGAGGAGCCACGGATTGTTCTTACCACGGATTCGAATAAACAACGTGGCGGCATGCGCGGCCGAGCCACCTGGAACCGAGACCGACGTCGAATCGTCGAATCTTGGCACGAATCTTGCTCGCAGTTTCGGCTCGCTTGGCATTCCCTCGAATCACCGTGTCCCCGCGAGAAAGAAACGCAAGAGAGCAGTTAAGTTTTCCTCTTCCGCTGAGAGCGAACTTCGACGTCGCGAATCAGCCGCGATAATCGATTCTGCGGAAATGTTCGAACGTGAAGTGAATTTCTTGATTACGGAACGAGACTTACGTCGGGATAGAGAACAAAGGCGAGTCGCTTCTCGAGAAGCAGGTGGAACAAGTGACTCAAAGAGATTGGCAATAAGACAATCCCGAAGGTTCGCCTTAAGCGAGAAACGTTAAGTAAGAATGATAGAGCAGGAGAGCAGCCATGGAAAAACGAAGAAGTTGACGACGAACTGACAAATGAAACTGTCTGGTGTACTCGCGCAAAGATTTCTCATTTGAAAAAGGATGATCTTGGAGGGAAAATACGAGAAGTATGCGAGGCACGTTGGAATACTCGTAATTTAAAAACGCTTTCGTCTTGCGTGACGCAGCCGGAGGTTCACGAGCTCGCGGAAAATAGAAACTGAACGAATGGAAATGGGGGGGGGGGGAAGAGGAGAAAGGTCGAAAGGAAGCTCTAAGAGAATGACGAGTCGATATAGAAGTAGCAAGGAAAATTCGTTCATAATGCATAATGTTGGTAATCGGCGGAAGACCTGAAATACGTAGAGCGTGTCTGACAAGTGACTTGTAAATACTACTGCGGAACTCTGATTTCGTTTAATGGACGCAGTGGTTGCAAAAAAGCTCGCATATGCTCCTTAGGGGCGAGGACGCAAAACCATTGTGCCGGCTGTCTGGACTAAACATTAACTGGTTGCAAAAGTACCTGGCCTTTTTTTCACAATTTTTGTAGTCGTACGTAAATATGTACATCCATTCCTTCATTTACACGGTACATCCGTTGAAAAGAAAACCTGGTATAATATAGGTAATGGAAATACATATTTATCTTACATAGGTTAACAAAAAAAAAAGATAACAATAACATTTCAAGAAACAAAAATAAATTTTATTTGGTGTTACTATCACTATTGTAATTCAAAATAATCAACCTTTTCTTTTTAATTGGCACAAACTCATTATCCTCGTCGCTTGAAGTATTCGAAAGTTCGATTTTATTTTCATGTTGATGTTGATTTTTCCGGATAATTTGTTCTCAAACTTATCTTTTGCTAAGTTTTGATAAATTTGACGTGCTTGAAGAACATTGCTGAATAATCGGCTTGTAGAAAACAAACGCTGTGAGTTTTCTTTTCAGTGTTATTATTACTTTTAAAAATTGTAGAAAAATATATTTTTCGCTTCCGTAAATTGATATCGCGTAAATGAAAGAATGTACTTGAATTTAATAACAATTCTACGAATACTTTTCGTAGCCATCGTGTTATTATGTTACGTTATATATTAACAAAAAAAAAGAAGAAAAGCAAACGAAACATCTTTGTTCATGACCCATTTATGCGACGGACGATAAAACAGTAAGATCGATCGAAAAAGATTCCCTTCGCAACGAGAATACGCGACCACGTATTTTTTCAGAAAACAACGAATCTATCCGATACGTCGATACGTAACCTTTTCCCTAGCCGTGTGTTGCGATCGACACACGGAGAATTTAATTTCGTAATTAGAGCCATGCAAAACGTTAACTGGAAACGGTTGAGTTCGATATACAATAGGTTACCATGAGGGAACAATACCATAAGTATTAATACGCGGCATTAAATGTCGTGTGTATAGCCAAAACAGACCGCACTGTATCGAGCCATTGTTTCGGGCACTAATATTAAATAACAGTCGGCGATACGATGGGCAGAGGAACGGGTATAACGGTGGGTATAGCAAGGCAACAACAGGAACGGCAGAAATTGCGCGAAAACGCGCGCGTTGTTACCGCGAAACGCGGAAAAACCGGACGCGGCAACGGCAGCGGCATCGGTGGCAACTCCGATCTGTATCGGTTTTCGAAAGAATTTAAAACGCTCCTAAATCTTCTGTGTATAGTTTTGTAACCGATCCAACTGCACCGCGTTCCGATTCTCCGCCGCTATTTTCTCATACGCCGCTGACCGACAACAAAGCGAGTGTTGCAGCGAGTGCTGGCTGCAACTACGGGAAAAAGTAGCCGACCCGGGGAGCCGAGCAGCGTCAAATCACCTGGGCAACAGTCCAGCACCCGTAACCAACTCGATAAATCGATAGAAACGGCCATGGTGGACGGGTGATTCATCGATACCGAACCGATTCCCAATTTCCATTCGGCACGAGCCAGCCCTTAATCCACGTCCTTCCGTCGTGCCGGTCGAGCCATCGGCCGTGACCTCGAGGCCCGTTTCAACTCCGCACCAGCCAAATAAATTATTTTCATTCTCTCTTTATGTAAAGCCAGCCATTCCCCGGGCCAGCTCTTTCCGCTTCCAGGCAGAGGGAAAGAGAAAGGGAAAGGAAAAGGAGCGGAAAAGGAAAGCGAAAATGCGAGAACGTGGACTTCTGTCTGCCGTTAGCGCGACACTGATACGATTGTGTCGTCCATCGACACTTGGGGAAGGAAAATAAACGTCTTTACGGCACAATGGAACAATTTTATCGTTTCAGGAGTATTACCCTCTTTGGAAATACGCGTGAGACGACAATTCACAAGGTTAATTGGTACAGGTGTGTAATTACAAGTGAACGCGGTGACCTTTCTTTCTCTGCGCGACAGAATGATCCGAGAGCACGATTTATCGCGCAACGCGCAGAACGTGAGATTCGAGAACAGATGACAGGATACAGGTTGACCTCTTAGTACGTAAATTTTACGCGACGAATTTTTAGGTTTCCAACGTTGCTTCATTTCCTTCTTCTTCTTCTCTCTATCTGTTCTCTTCTTCTTTCGTTCGAGAACATATCTCGACGAATGTTCGAGGAAATGTTTTCCGCGAATGAAATATAAACAGGTGCCCGATCGCGTCCTCGCGTACGAAGGAACCCGAGGAGAGAGACAAAGGGAAGACGCGATAACGAGAGGCTCGAATTTACCCCCAACGTCGTGGTAAATTATTTCGAGGCGCTCAGTTTGTTTTCAACGGGAGTACGAGGCTCACGGGGGTTAAGTTTCCGGGGCGTTGCACCGCTGAGAGTGACAGATTTAATTAGGCACGCAGCGTTACTCGGAAAAATTGCAATGCCAGCGAATCAGGCGAAAAGAGAGGGAGACCCAGTGATGGGGAGGGAGGAAGGAAGAAACGAGCAAGATAGAGAACGAAGGGTGCAAGGTAGCATCTAGGAGATGCTGACGACAAGCCCCGGATGAATTGCTGGCGGCGAAGGCGCGTCTACCGTCAGGTATCTTCGTACTAGTCGGGACGGCGGCTGCAGCCGAGGCTTTAATGAGGCAGGCGAGGACGTCGTGTGTAACAACTGGGACCTAAGTGCTCCGAGAAAAGAGGGATCTCGTAGCGTATCTGCAGGCCAGATCCAGAGATAAACAGCTCCGCCCGCTTTCACGCGAACCGGGCGAATCCGGCATTGTTCTCTGCTCGATCTCACCGCGAGCTGCTCGGCAGCGACAGAATGATCGTTTAGAAACGAATTTTCGTAATTACCAATGTTTGTCTTCGATGTTTCTCACGGTGATCTCGACTGAATCACGCTGAATGAGCAAAAGTAATCGAATCGCGATCTCTTTGTAGTTTCAAAACGATCAAGCTGTAATTCTTGACGATTTGACGATTTCAGTGAATTATGCTCGTGGCAATTTGAAAGAGATTATGAAAGTTTCATTCTGGAAACGATACACTCGCCGATATCTCGACACGCGTGTACTTCATCGAGTGCTCGTTTCGAGAGAAAGAAGCGATGACACAAAGCACGAACCTCGTACAAGAAGAAAGTTACGGCGCCGGAAATCGGCTTCGTGCGAGCGAACCTTCAGCTGTAAATCTTCGACGAAAGAGGGTGCTTATTAACGACATCCTCGACGTGCACGACTCCTTTCGACGTTCGAGTTAATGAGACAGCCGGAAGATCGCGTGTTGCCAAGAAACGAACATAGAAATCCCGACTTAACGATAAATGTTTCTCCCTCCCCCCCCGCTCTTTTATCTTTTGCCATTGCTCCCTGTCCTTCCCAGTGAAAGACCAAGGGGTGAGATGCGGAGATAAACAACGTCGCTTGATACACGTAGAAGAGAAAGGCATATAGTCGGATAAGGTATCAAAGAGACGTACTTCAGAAGAGAGTCAACTACCAAGAGCAGGCGTCTTTGCCCTATCGAGCCCCACGCGAACCTCTCAAACGAGCTTCTATTTAGTACTATTTGAAGATCGCACACGAGTTTCTAGAAACTTCTGTTCTCTATAATTGGAAACACTTATTTCTGTTCACAAATATCGATAAGAAGGAGGTAGAGCACATTTAGATACAGATCGTTACAGATGACGAGCGATAATAAATTGGACTAGTTCTGAGAATACACGTGTAAATTTAGCATGCTTATAATTAGCGTGCACGTAGCATTTTGCAAAATTATCTTGGTGAGTCAGAGTTTATTCAACAGAATGACGATTCTTGATCTCTGATTCATTGTTCTGTTTTTAAACGAAGTCTCTCATCATTAAGCAAAGATCCATCTGCGAGCTCGAAAATATTTCCGCGTCAACCCCTTCCCACAATTTACACTAAACCACACCACTGAACCACGTAGATCGAGGAAAGCTAAATACGAATCGAGGGTTCGCGACGATCGATATGTACGTATTTGTTAGCGTTTAATAATCGGTACTTGGTCGGGCGCGCGGCAAACACGATCGTAAGAAGGTAATAGTCGGCCGCAAACGATGTTGATTGGCAAAGAAAGAAAGTGCGACAGAAAGAGGAAGGCAAGAAGCTTTACACCGAAGCTTTCGATAACCACGCGACTGAATATTTAAACAAACGTTAACCACTGACATCGTTGATTATTTTTACCCGTTCGCTTCTTGCCACGAACGCTGGCCAGGAAAAATCAATGCCCGGCGAGAGTACACGTCCACCTTTCTCGTGATCAACCTCACTCTCTTATAGACGACCGTATCAATATTAAAGTCAACGAGCATCGGGAATGTTTCTCCAAGGTAAGTCACTCCGAAGATTAATTTAACAGGTTTCAAAAGGTCGAAAGAAAGAGAGAAAGAGAAATGGATCGCGGATGAGCGATTCGCGGATCGATGCACGTTGATTCCGTTAGGTTCCTCGAGGGGTAGCGGGATCGATCGAAATCAGAGAAGCGTCTCATTCGGGACGAGAATACGGGGCAAAACAAGGCAATTTCTTAGAAAGACAAACAGTCGACCGCCGTGATTTCGTCGATATTCCCAAAAGAAGCTGCTGATTGTTCGATCAGTCGTTCGCGTTTGTTTGTCACTAAAGCTTCTGATGTTTCAAATTTAAAGATCTCGGGGCCTTTGCTCACTCAAACTGTTATTGCATCTAGTGTTTGTGCGTTTAAACAACGACGAGGAGTTAGCGGGTTGCAATTAGAGCGTCAACGTTGCCAGTATCATTCGTTTCTCGCGAGATTGAGGACCACGCTTGCCCCACTGCACGACGTTCAGGAAAGGTATTTTATTTTTGAGCTTTTGAAACTGCGTACAGTCCACTTGTCAATACGCAAGCCCAAAATTTGTCTGTCAGAACGAGCTTGGCCACTTTGAACGTAGCACCGGTCGGAGGAAGATCGTTTCTTCGTCGCGCCCATGTCGCGGAGTTTCTGATTCGTCGGGTCGTTCCCAAACAAAGAGATACGAGAAACAATATTGTCCGAAACCGTGTTTCCTCGTCGTCCTGGTTACACCACACACACACACACACACACACACACACACACACACGCTACATGCGACGGTTCATCTGGATATGTATGCAAACTCGACAGCATATAGGTTGGCGCGTGTACGGCGAACGCAAAAGCTGTCACGCGAACGGCGAATCGAAGGTCGACAAGCGACGATAAGTCGCTAAGGTAGAAGGGAAGGTGGGGTGTCTTAGCTTTTGCAACTTGCCGAAAGGCAACTCCCGGCAACGGCTGCAAAGTTTCCCCGGAGAAGCCGTTTCTTCTGACGCAACGCAGTCGAGCATCGGATTGGTGTTTCGCGTCATCGAAACATCCGAAGGATCGTCGCGTGGAAAAAGAACGAGGACCGCCGAATGGGATCGAGTCCATCGACGCTCAACGATAGAGGGAGGAAGAGAGAAGACGATCGAGCGAAACGGCGCGCTACGCTCGCAAGTGGATGAAAGAAAGCGGGGGAGGGGTCGCGAGAATCTCTTCTGTTGTTCATACGATAAGGCAGCGGAAAAAAGCGGGCCGAACTCCTCCGATCGAGAAACGCTCGGGGAAGATGGAGAGAGAGAGAGAGAGAGAGAGAGAGAGA